GGTCCGCTTTCGTGGCAGGCAAGCAAAACAACTGAGTCACATATCCAGTCCACCCACAGCGCTCACGCGAGCCAACCAATCGGACACACATCCAATCAGCCACTCAAGTTGCCAGCCAGATCGATGGTGGAACGACGAACGGACACGCACACGCGCAAACTCTCTGACACACCGAAGCAGCTACTACAGAATATTGAGGTGGATCTCTGACACACCGAAGCAGCTACTACAGAATATCAGTTGAGGTGGATGTTTTTGCGTTTTGCAGCGATTGGGGTTTCCAGTTTGCAGGAAAGGTACTCAGAGATGCTTACCGATGGTAATGGAGGTCAAGGTATTCTCTCTCACCCGGCCGGGCCGAAAAAATGATCGCGCACGGCATTGACACGCTAAAGCCCTGCCCGTAACGGTCACCGCCACAGTCCGGATGCTCGACCGAAGACGAATCTTCGGAAGAATAGATATATAAACTTAATAAATGGTTTATTTACACGAGGAATGGGCGGCGGCATTTTTAGGGAGCCGTAGTGGCACTTTCCGGCGTATTGTTAAAGTGGTTGTGATGGACGTACGGACGTACCAAGCACAACAATTTGGTGAGAAAATGTATCTCCACGGCAGTCTGGGTTCTGGTTTCAGTACATTCTTTCTTTTCCAAATCGAAGAGAAATAAAGCTTCACACGGTACCACCATGTGGCAATTAGGAGACGCGTTCGGATGAGGAGAAATGGACTGAACTTTGGAGGTTTACGGCTGATGAACGAGGAATGACTGGAAGCTTAAGTGGAATCCATATAGTGAAGGATCATTACGGAACTCTCATGGTTGCATAACCACCAAGGTCCTACATAAGTATAAAGATACCAAGAACGCTAAAAGGACCTATGGAGCAGTGCGGATGACCAGAAAGCACGTTCAAGCGAGATATTTTCTGTCAATGTGACCATTGCTTGGTTTCACTTTATGAGGGAATCGGCTGAATTTGGGAGGCAGAATTTGGGGGGAAAACAGGGTGCCCATTATCTGCGCAATGCTCTCAGCTGCAAAACACTTACTAATGGAGTAGAACTTTCCACGCCAGTATGTTGCACTTTGTCGCATTTGTGCTCAAATTAAAAACCATCTTAGTCTACATTTGTATTTTTGGATCACACCAACTTTCAGTATTTACTGAGACAACAATGCCTCTGGCCGAAAAACCATGTGGGATAATTGCCCTGAATCGCTGAGACCCCAGCATGCCTAGATGGGGCTTGAAATTTTAATATGGTACTCTCAACTCCATTGTCAGATTGGTTCAGTCCATCGAGGGCACGTCATAATTTTCGGTAATTCAACTCCATTGTGCGAATACTGAGTTCAAACAGGTTAATTTCAAACGTACCGCGTCCTCATCTGATCACGGGACCATAAGCACATCGGGCTAAAGTGGAAATTGGGTGCTTTCAGATTTTAATAGCTTATTGTAATGAAATTTTAAGTATAGCTTTCCATTCATACCTCTCCACCTAATTGAATGAGTCACTTCACATTGGACTGAGGTTAAAATTCACCGTAGACATTTCGGTTAAATGTTGAGTTACCGCTAGAGCACTTCGCTCACGTTCCTGCGGAGTTGAATTTTTATGAAGCATGGCGTTTGATTACGGCGAAGAGCATGGTATGCTATTTTTGTCTCTGACTGTCCAATCCTTAACGTTATACAGGTCCTCATACATGGGTGTTGCAGTTTCCGGATGCTGGTGGCAAACAACAATCTCCTATTAACCTCATAACGTCTAGTATGACTGAAGACCCGAAACTTGGACCTCTGACGTTAATGGACGGCGGAATTTCCAAACAAAACGTTATAATGAAAGTGCATAACTTCGAAGTTGCCGTAGAAGGACTCGGAGGTAAATATTTGCAAAAATTTTCGAATGTTTCTTCCTACAAATGGGCGTTTCTTGTATCTATGGGATACGGTTAGATTGTGGACAACCAGTCTATTCAGGGCTTAAGTGTGTATGAAGTGGGATGCACTAACGTGATTCCCTAAAATGCAGCTCTCTCTAAGGTGTTGTCACTTTTAGAAAAATATCTATGCCAGAAAATGGAAGTGCAATGGAATTACGGCAGTCTGTCTGGGAAAAATTTAAAAAAATGCATATTTGGCAGGAAAGTGCGAAGTTCGAGCATGCGGGCCCATTCCATGCCATAAAATCAGGTAACAATTTTCAGCCGCTAGAGGACGCACCTGAGTGGCTGTATCTCTCGAAACAAACAGTCACATGAATGGCCCGATGCATACTGTGTACCAGCTGCTGTTTTTTATATAAAGTTGTCAACTGTGTGCAATCAGCTTAAGTTAGACGTAAAATTGTCTCATGGAAGTGTTGGGGGATATAATAAATTGGTGAAGAGCCTGGTAACGACTGGGTGGTTTTAACGGAAATCTGTGTAATATCCACGGACTTCCAATATCACAAAAAGCGGTTTACTGGTCACGATCACACTATCAATCACTCGTTCAGCTGTAACACCCTTTCGGTGCATAACTGTCATGCCACCCGGGGGAAGTTCGAGGGTTGGAATACTGCCAGGTTGCCCAAGCCCAGACGGAGGAAGTCGAGAGACAGAGGTCGGATTCGAACCATGAACCTTCCGATCAGCAAATTCGAGCCCTAATTATCTGAGTTATCTCGCCCCTTATCACATCACCGTGATGGAACATACTTATATCAAAAAATTGGACCGTGGTTCATTAGTAGTTTCTTCCGACAAACTGCAAATATAAGCTGGGTCGGTTATTAACAACTCTGGCTTCTGATAATATTGGCGTAAGTGACTGACGACTGTTTCCAGTTTCGGACAAAGATCTTTAGGTCCACAAGCATACCGACATGAAGAGAAGGCCACAACATATGAGCATGCTTTTGATTTACTACAGCACTCACTGAGCTACGAAGTTTCAAACGCTGCGTTTGTACAAAGTGTCCCCAGTCGTGTAAACAGATAATTTTGCGCGCTGTAGTTGATCTTTGCATACTGCGCGAGGTGACGAGACTTATCACTTAAGTCTGGCGAGCGACTTCAGTGGATACTTTGAGCGACCTTGTTGCCCACAGGGTCCGAAAGTCGACGAAGGCCGCCAGAATTGATTCTTGCCCGGCACATGTGACGGGGAGGTGCAAAACGACCGGAACAGTGAGGTAAAAATACCGTCATAGAAATGTATAAGTATAGATGATGCCATCTGGTATGTTTTAGCAGAAATAGGATACAAATTAGGATCTTCACTACATCGGAACCGGTTCCATTAATAAGTTTCTTTGGGTGCTCACTTGGTCGTCCTGCCTGTCAAAACAGTTGAATGGCCGAAACAAGTGATCCAGCGGGTCCGAACAGAAATGCCTTGACTCATTCTTGCGACGGATCAACATAGAGTGGCTTCTACTCCAGGCGATAACACAATGGTTGCACATTTTTCCCGAAAATGAAAGTCAAATATTTCTGCGATTTCGGAAAGAAATTTGAATAGGTAAGAGTTAGTTGCTTGTGTAGGGTTGACAGCGGTATGCCATGCGTGAATACATAAAAGTTAGACAGAATCCTATATGTAAAACATTTCAGACCATTTAGAAGGGCAACAGCTAAGAAGACGCAGCATTTGATTAAACATCGTGGAAACGTTATGAAAGAACTTAAACAAATTATAACCACTGGGCAACTTCTAGAGAAAACACCGCAGGGACACTAGTATGGATCCAGAAGGCCGCAGGTGGTATGCGAAATGCCCTCGAAATCAGGTTTTTCAACCGTTTCCCAGAATAATCGGAGGCTGTACTCCTGCAATCCTAATGCAACTCCTATGAAAGTCCTGCTTTGTGACAGCTTCTGTTAGAACTTATAAAAAGTACTTTGGTAAAACAAGTAACCGTTTATTTACTGTAACCAGCATTTCGTAGTTGAAAAGGCACATCCACATATCTGACACCCTAACTGATCGGTTTATGGACTGAATTCAAATCCATCAAGGGAGAAATCAGTCGTTCCATTCAAGGTGTGAATTACGATTGCTAGTTCTTGAAGGCGCTACAATGAAACCTACAGTAGCCATGGGGCACATATATATGTTGAAAAATTAGGCTGCTGCTTCCATTCTCGGAGCACTTAAGATAAAACATTATCCTATCAAGGTCTTCAAAATATGCGGTTGATTGTGGTAAGCACTCAAGAAATTGCTCTATCGCGGGGCCCACATCATTTAATTACAGTACGAAGTGCAAAAGCTCCTGAATCGGCATAATTTTGGTTGATAAAAGTTTGGCGGCGAAAATTAACAGCATGCTGCCCATGTAGCGGAAAAAATAATTGGAGTGCTTAAATGACCTATTTGCCTTCTTTTTCTGTAAAATCCATGCCGTTAACTCTAACAGAGGTTTCTCACAACAGTAAAAACTTAAAATATATGCAGAAGCCTCAAGATGTACCAAAAAGATGCCCTCTGGTTCTAGCATGAACGATTTAACTAAAAATCTTGGAAGAGTGTTACAAAATGCTCAGTACGTCAGATTTTTTCGGTCAAGCTAGTTTTTCTGCCTTTTGAACTTCATCAGCCCTTCTAGCTTCTAGTAAAAGTCGACATGCCATTATTCAGCCGAGCTTAATCTAACAGAAATACTGACCGTAGGTTCACTTGGAGTTAACGGGTTCTTCCGTAATCAGTTGTTGTTCTGTGAGTAAATAAGGCTCGTTGTTGCCACTGTGGTTATTCATACAGAGACTTATATTATATAAAAGTTTTCTGCCTTTTGAACTTCATCAGCCCTTCTAGCTTCTAGTAAAAGTCGACATGCCATTATTCAGCCGAGCTTAATCTAACAGAAATACTGACCGTAGGTTCACTTGGAGTTAACGGGTTCTTCCGTAATCAGTTGTTGTTCTGTGAGTAAATAAGGCTCGTTGTTGCCACTGTGGTTATTCATACAGAGACTTATATATATATAAAAGTAAGCCACTCGTCGGTTTAACTATTCAACTTGGTTCACGGCATGCTATTACCATGCATACCCGTATAACTGAGAAAAAAAGTAAAAACGGATTGTAATGTCAATAGCAGTAGACAAACCGCAATAGTTAGCATGGAGTTAAGCGATGTCATGTTGGAAAACATTTGAGACAACATTATGTCATCTGAGATGGGCTTGAGCTTGAGGGTTGAACAAACTGTATTGCCCATCCGCCCTTTGTGGGTGCTCATTACTTGGTTTACCATAAGTCACTTGATTTGTCGACATTGAATACTTCTGATTGGGTGCCTGATGCTGGCCGGATACTCACCGAGACGGACATCAACAATGATATGTCCTAACCGCAAATCATTTCTTAATGACAAACAACACAATAGAGACTTAGAAACTCGCCCGTTGATTTATATGTTCTAGAGAACTTGTCGAAGCATTTCATATTGTCTCTGATTACCTCCATAGACTTCAGCACCATGCGCATAATTTGATAAGTACAGGTTAAGTCTTTTCTTTTTCATTTATGCGCTTCCAAAAAATGATCATTTAGCTGTAAAATCCTTTTGATATATAGCTGCCGTGTCACAACAATGAAGTTGGGGGAATGAGGTGCTTCCAGGTTATGGAGGCCTAGACAGGAGCAATCAGGAAGCTGATAACCGTGTACCAACCGGTATATAAGTTTGCATCCTAAGTGCGGAGGTGTTCTGAGCTCAAAACATGCACGACATACATGCGGGAAAAGAAGTGCCAGAAGTGGAAATGTAGGCTAGTGAATGGGCTTGAATCCAAGTCACCGAAGTGATGGCCTACAATCTTATCCATTCAATCTGACATGCACCCATACATGCATCGCCTCTCAAACGAGCGTTCCAATTCAATTCGAATGTATTGTATTTATGCTCTTTAAAACTCTTGCAAGCCAAGGGCATTATACGCGAGTGAATGAACTAGTGCTGATGTAGGAGTGTGTCATTCCTGGCTATAAAGCAACGGATGATGGACTTCTTTGGGAACCTCATCGTTACTGTTGGAAGGTTTTAGTAAACCAGAACAAGAGTGGTTTTAATCGCTCTCAATAAGGGTGCAATCCAGCAATTTTCATGGCTCAACATAATGTGACCAAGCACCTCAAGAATTATCCGTGGACTACACGCTCAATATCAGCCGCTAATTCGGTTTAGAGTTTCGGGTGTCCATCGGTTGAAGAAAACAGCTTCCTCCTACTCCGTGATTTGATGCATGCTAGACAACACAAGAATTAAATCTAGTTCACACTGGAGACCATTGCGTGCAGCATTTCATGAAAGTCGTACCAAGTAGTTCACCATTTCTGGTAACAAGCAGCGTTGTCTCTTTATATTTCATCAACATTTATTCATTAAAACACATTTAGCGAGAAACAGAGAGGTAAACGCTAACAAAAAACGAAGGTGTATGTGTTAATCCTGCGGGAAAATTCCGGGGAAATTCGTGGATGGTAACTTTTTGAGTAAACTAGTTAGATAGTTCAACGTTTGTTGGATACTATTAAAAAGTGTAGCTATTGGGGATTACAGTGTGAAAATTGATATATTTGTCTTTTTAGTTCATTACTACGGTGCTTCTGATATATATGATACAAATATATAATATAATNAATATAATATACATAGAAACTGCAGTTCTGTTTCTCTTTCCCTTTTGCCCGGCATTGAGTGTTCCCATCTGAGTTGCCTAATTTAGGGGACTTAACGTTTGCCGTTTTGGATAATTAACTCAATTCATCTACAGTTATCTGTCGTACCGATCCACTTCGACAGTAGTTGTTGCCTACCTACGGAAAAATTTGACGCTGCAAAAATGAGCCGTTTTGGCGCTGACAATTTGTCGTTTCCTCAGATTATAACTTAGTTCAACTAAGTGAAGAATTATCTCCAAACTTTTTTAAACGTAGTGGATACTTACACGTAAAATACGATCATGACTGACGAAGAAATCCGTCGACTGGCAGTCCTTTCACTTGATTCTTTCTTAGGCCCACTAGTGTACAAGGTTAACACAAGATGGGATACTCTATAAACCTAAGCTTCCTATTTTGATCTTTGATGGCAGTGGCCTTCTTCGCGTTTTACAGTTTTTTGATTCTATTGACCTCTATGGCCGTTTGGGGTGCTATTTTCGGCTGAATAAAGAACCACCAAGTAAAATTTCAGTGCAAAAAACTTGAATGCATATATCCGAGATGTCATCCTCAACTAACAATGAACAGATACTTGGTGATTGCACGTATCGTTTGTTACACGCATTTCCTACCAGTCACCTATTGGTAGTCTGATTTATTGTGGGCTGTTATAAAGGCAGTACGTTTACAAATAGCGGCATTTACAAGTTGCGTTTGATAAATAGCGAAAACGTCAATTTCATTTGCTGAATCCAGGTTCCGTTAAAGTTAATTTTTCTCAGCGAATATAAACTCATTTGCAAACTAATTTGGTTCTTTCGAGAGACACATCTGGAACCCAGCTGAATCTCTCGTTTATGATGTTCTCAGTTGCCTGTTCAGTTGCCTGAAATCATCAAAACGGGGGGATTCAGCTGGGTTCCAGGTGGGTCTGTCGCAAAACCAAATTAGTTTGCAAATGNGACTGCGCCTACCTGATGAGCCCCAAGAAGGGCGAAACCGGTCGTGGACTGTCGATGGGTTTTCAGCAACCTTATGAGTAGTACATTACAAAGATATTAATTTTTCTCACTTAAAGGAAGGCTGGATGGAGCACTGGCGTAGTCCTCGTGCATAAGTATGATATTTTAAACTTGCAAATATAGCTATAATTCTAAAACTAGACAATAGGAGTGTGTTTTTGGTCTGTTACATTGCCTTTTTGCTGGTCGTACTAGTTCTTTGCTTTTAACTTTTTATTCAGAGATTTTTTATTGAAGGATTGGCTACCCTTTAGTAAATAATCAGACAGCATTTCGTTGTCACGAAGTTAAAATGAATTCACTTATCTTGACATGCAGTCGGAACAATTTTTACACCACAAATGGATCATCGGGATATTATTATTTGTATCTAGGCCCGTTACTATTTGGTCTTCTTTTTTTGTGACAGTAGTCGTTTACCATAGTAAACGTCTTGCTTTAAAAGTATGTGGGGCAGGTTAGCAGGCCAGCAAGAACATTTGCAATTGGGAGCGTAGCACGAAATTGAAAACGCAGTCAAACCATAAGAACAATAGATCTCATTTGCAGTAAGCATTTAGTATTTATTTATTTATATTCATTATGTATTTGCAAAATTTTCTGACATTGTGTGCTGGCTTATTAGCGCTGAATTAGGCTTCTGTTATGTATGATGTTGTGCAGTTGGACGATTTATTAGGATATCAAGTCCGGCCGTCAAAGTACTGAAGCGCACCTCACATGCATAGAATCGCCATGAGGTTTTGTATGGTTTCACGCTAGACACTAGATTAAGCGGTCAACGTAAGAAGATAATTGTAACTCTAGAAATCAATATGCGACACTCAGATACCTCATTAGGGCTCACCGAGCCAGCGATGGTACAAAAAGTGAGCGGCGGTTTTTGTTTTCACCACACCGTAATCTGTGTTATGAGAGGATTTCATCACGGACCGAACATCTAGAAACAAAACCTAGTTGCAAGTACCATGAGAAAACTGTAATAGCAAATCAAGGTAAAGCCTATTCAGTGCTGACATGACATGGTTAGAAACCAATTGTTTTGGCAATGCTTCCCATTTTCCCATGAGATATGCGGGGCAATCGGTTCTCGTAACAGAATTAATGGCAGGACACTGTGTTAGAGTTTTTTGGACTATATTCCGGATTTGTTTCGCTGTGACTGATCAGGCGCCGTAGGTCTGAGTGGTGAAAAAAATAAGAAAAGACGAATAATACCATGTCAAAGGCTTTCTCTACAGTTTGCTACGGTCGTGCCAACTGTGGAAAAGCTCATTGGTGTACGGCTCACAAATAACGTGGTATCACAAACTCGCTTGCTGTTAGTTAGAAAACAGGGAAAGCACTCTGTTAGCAAAAGTAAATAGGTAGTCTGTGATGGTATTTTGCCTTCTCAGATCTATAGCCGTAGCTGCTTCTGCTGAGTTGAACCTTGATATTTGTTTGGATCTGTCACATGAGCTACTGTATTCTTCCATCCTGAAAAGGTAGGCTTATTTCAGGTGGGAAGTTTGTCAAGTTTGTACCTCAGAAAAGGTTAGGTAGGCTGAATTGTGAACTGAAGTGCATTTAAAAGTTTTTGAGGTTGCAGCAGGCTGCCTATACATTTTGTTCAATCGCTTACTACCACTTCAAACAGCATGTTGGTTGAAAACTTGATTTTATTATAAGCTCTTGAGTCTCAAAAATCAAAATTGATCGTCCATGTGTTATAACCTTTCGGCGTCCAGCTGTGCTGCCACTCGAAAGAAGCACTGAGGCTGAGATCTTGCCGGGTTCCTCAAGTGTCGACTGAAGCGGTCGTGATGCCAGGTTTGGGTTTGAACAACAGAACTTCTGGTCAGTAAGTTCGCGACGCAACCCTTAAGCAATCTTAGGTTATTCTTTTTACGGAACTATTTTGCTGTGTAAACGATAGACGAATTTGTGAGTGACCCAAATCAATATAAAAACAATATAGATACTTACAAGAATAGTTCATTTAGACAACGAAGCTTGGACCGTTATAACCTGTGAAGTTTATAAAATTTTGTGAAATATTACGCATACGACAAGAGTGTAAATATAACTTCTGTTGTGCGCACTGTGATAACCACTCTTTTTAATCCTATCAGTTTTGAAGGGCGGACCGCTAAAGTCAGAATACAAACTTGTTCAGTTCCATTTTCACTGGGGATCTGGAAATACGTGGGGTTCCGAACACTTGGTGAACGGAGTGAGCAGTCCATCGGAAGTGCATTGTGTCTTCTTCAAAGAAGGATATGGATCAATACTAGACGCGATGAAGCACCCCGATGGCATCGCTGTCTTGGGATCATTTTTGCAGGTAATTCGAAACTAAGCAGAGCTTGCGGAAAGATTATGAACCATTTCATTATTGGCTGCTATAACGCAGTTCCATCAGATGAATGTAACATCGACCTTCTATACGCCCATTAATTCATGAATAATTCAACCTTCTTTACGGTTTCTCACATGATTTGTTCGCTTGCTAGCGTTCTCTTCAGCGATTGCAGGCAGCAGCAACTACAACAGAGGGTCAATAGAAGCGAAAGTATGTTGCCCTTTCCCAACATTGCCAGCATTGCCTTGGTTCTCAATTCGATTTCACCATAAGAGAAACCACTGAACCTTATTTTGTTTCGCAGTTGTTCATGTGGTTAGTTAAAGTGAACTTCTTACTTTGACACACAACAAAGTGAAGGCAAAATGAAATACATCAATGAAATCAGCTGACAGTCGAAATACAGCTCGAATGTGAGGTGATTGCCCGGAAAAGTTAGAGTCCACAAATGTCGCTCCTTGGGTAAGGACTGAGGGGCTGGCGCTACACAAGCCTTGATGCCAGAAAGATTATCCGGTTCTTGGCAAACGGGAATCTTATCACGCACAAATGCTTGGCCAAAAAGCTACGTGTTAAATCGTTTTGGATGTTGAAGTGAAAACTCCACGTGCACATCACACGAACGAATAAGGCGCTTGGTGTAGGACTAGAGCCACCAAACTCTCACCTACGCCCCGCTGGCAACCGAGTAGTCAAGAATTTTCTCTCTTTGTTACTCTTATGCGCTTGAATCGTCATCACTCTTTTGTCTATTGGAACGACAGTTGATATCTGTCACCCCTTTCGTAATCAGCCGGAATTTTAGATCTCTCAGCTACCCAAGCGGCATTTGCTCAAAATCCTTTTGGGATTTCAAAGTGGATTCGATAGATTTTCAAGTGAAAAGTCCATGTACTTATCGCATGGACAGTGAGGCACGCCTAGGGGTGTGGCGGTTCAACTGCTAAGCCCTGGCGTATAAGCCTGAGCGTGAACGAGCGTCTTTGTCGTTCACTCGGGACACCATCAAATCCAGTCCGTCCAAAAGTGACTCCTTTTGTTTGGAGTTCGTTTGGTGTACGAAGTGCATTGTTCTCCTGGTGACACACAAGTGTGGTTACAATGCAGTCCTGACGCGGTATTTTTTACGCTCTTTCTAAACATGAGTTGCTAGTTTTTTTTGCACAAACAATCCAGTTTTGTTTGTGAGCCACTGTCTGGTTTAGCAACTGCTTTCTGCATCCCTGTCATCCCAACGCTGAACATCGTCATCTTGTTCATCATCGTCATCTTCCTGGTCCTCCTCCTCATCATCATCATTGTCATCCTCCCCACCATCATTATCGTCTTCATCGTCAACTTCATATCATCACCGCCGTCGTCGTCATGGTAGTGGAAGCGACGCCACCCAGAAAACGCTGCTGCTTGACTACCTTTCAGTCACTATAATTTATTTAAGAACAACTCTGTAGTAAACGGAAGAAGAAAATTGAAAAAAGAACAAACAGGGCTAATGGCGGGTACACTTATGATCAAACATTCAGTGAAGCAATCTAAATATGAGGTGTGGCAAAAATGTTAAAAGCTGCGGTTGGCAGCCACCTATAGCACTAGTAGTGCCTTTAGCTAAGCAGAAAGACAGGCAGCTTCTACCACCCTCCTGTCTAGTCTTTAGGCTATGATTTGCGCATATTTATACTTTGGGATTAGAGGAACGTGCTAGGCACCGCATGAAATAACTTCCGAAACCGACTTCCAGCTTTGACCGGAGTCAGATCGTTCACAACTCACCAGGAGATAGAGCACGGGATAGAGCTATAACAAGAATCGTAACCGCGGATTTAAAATGATTCGGGAACCTGAAGCTGTGTACGATCAATTTTGATCGATTGGATGAAATTAAGGGAGGCAGATTCACACGGCGATTGGCTGGCTGCATAAAATCTGTCCTTTGTCAGCGGCATCTAGGATTATGGATCATTAGTCCCCGAAGCAGTTGACAGAGTGAACGCAGTTTAACTTGACTCCAATGAAGAAGAATGTTAGCCCCTAGAAGAAAGAAACTTGCGTAGTTTTTTAATCATATTAATTTGCAATAATTTAGTCCAAGTCCTTCCAAGTCCGGAAGCTGAGGGATCTCTTAGACAACCGCCAGTCTGTTGATCAATTCTGTTAAGAATTACCAGACTTAAAGAGCACACTGCCTCGATTAAATGGGGTCTAGAGGAGCGGATCGAATATTCTCAAATGCTGGGCGTGCGGCTAGACAGAACAGAATCTTTGCCCTTGTCAAAGTACGTGTTGAGGTGTCACGTACGTGTTGTTTGTAAAAGTGTCAACCACAGTGTAGAGTGTGGGCGTTTGTGAAGTCAACACTTAGGTTTGTGTTTGGCCCACTACCATGACACTCGCTCATCCAAGCTTCGGATTTCAATAAACAAAAAGCGGAATGGCTTTGTTTCAGATCAAGCAAGTGCCCAAATTACGAATAAACAACACACGGTACGAAACACACATTGAGGAGACAGACAACTTTAATACCAATGTGTGTTTTTCGAAGTATTAATTACGTCTACGTTTGCTCAGTCTTCAATATGAGCGTTAGGGTCGATGGAAACCGCCGACTGAAATGCGAGTATACTCCATTATAATTGGTGGTGATGCGAGGAGATTCGGTATTTTTCGAAATGGCTTTGGTAAAACAAATCTACGCTGAATGGCTGAGAAGCGCTGTGCAGCTATTTCTCCCTTGTTAGTACTCATCAGCAGTGCGCATCTCATGAAACGCAGAGTTCCGGACCCTCGACCTTCCGGCCGATGGTTGCTCACTTAACCATTTGGTCTTATAAACAACAATATTTGGATGAAAAGCGTGCCTGCTTTATCCAGGAATGCACGAACATGCAACAGCTTTAAGCAGAATGGGGAAAGCAAGATTATTTGGACAAAAAGGACTGACAATGTCTATTCGTAATACACTACTCATAAGGTTGCTGAAAATTCTTTGACATTCCACGACCGGTTTCAACCTTCTTGAGGCTCATCAGATAGGTGCAGTCCCTGAGTTTCCGTCAACCTTGTGTTTTGCTGGAACCCAAATTGCATCAAACTAGCGAAATACACTCATTTGCAAACTAATTTGGTTTTGCGACAGACCCACCTGGAACCCAGCTGAATCTCTCGTTTGTGATGTTCCCAGGCTGATAATGTCGCGTACTTGTCTGAACTGAGCTGTCATAGTTGAGCAGTGCAAACTCCGAGACCTAGAGAAACAACTCCTCTTGCGGCCGTGCTAATTAACAGCAATGTTCCGTGACGATCACGTTCATCGCAGAAAAATATTCTGTCAATTGTTCGCAAAGAGACTACAGCGAATGGACTAAAAACCACGAGCTATTTGTACTGGGATGTTGACAGAACGAACGCATACAAACGTTACTTTGTCCACTTTGAAAAAGTACGCGCAACTGAAGCACATAAAATCGAAATGCGATGATCCTGGAGAAAGTTCGCAAGAGACACCCTCTTAGTCTCAAACACGAATGCTTCTCTTGGGGGAGACAACCAATATTATATACACACCCGCCATCTCAGATCCTTGGTTCTAGTGTACGACAAATATATGCAGGGACATACAAACTCACGTCAGTCCATACAGGGGGTCGAGATGGCCCAAGTGGTTAGAGCGCGAATTTATTGATCGGAAGGTTTGTGGTTCGAATCCGACCTCCGCCACTCGACTTACCCTGTCTAGGCTTGGGCAACCTGGCAGTACCCTAGCCCTCGTGCTTCCTTCGGGTGGCATGGCAGTTAGGCACCGGAAGGGTGCTACAGCTGAACGCTTTCTTTCAGTCCATACAGGGAACCCACCTCCATGGTCGTCATATTGATGATACGCTCGTTGTACCTGAAGACAAAATGATACGCAGTAGATGCTGAAATGTTTGTACCAATGGCACGCAGACAATTGCATCTCATGGTTGAACGCAAAGATGGAGGGTACTTCCACTTCTTAGATGTCCATATGTTAAAGAACGAAAAGCGAATCAACATTCCACAAGCCAATCCGGACAAAATATGTCCTAGCTTGAAAGTCCCTAGTCCAAAAGAGTAGAAGTGAACCTTGATCCAAGTTCTGTTTAGCACAGTCAAAAAATTTTCTATGATGTAGCTTTGGAAAGGGATATTGGAAGCAACTCAGCCATAGCGAGAAAAAAACATCTATCCTGTTTGCATCGGCTACGTAAGGATGTCCCTAGGAAGTAGAAGAAACAAAATGGAGCCTTCTAAAAAAATCAGGCACTTAATTACCTGGATGTCTTGTCCAGCACAGCCGCTCGCTATTTGCTGAATTGCATCAAGGGTACCAAGACTGTTATTAAAGGTGATAAACTGTCTAAAAGTCAACAGGTCATTTCGCCTTACTCATGCGGCGGTGGTTTGACCCACCTTGTGGAAACAAGGTGGCTACCCTGCCTTGTTTTGCTACAACTGACCTTGAATCATGTCTGTGGCGTAGTACTTTTATCCACGATAAGCTGGCGTCAGATGACCTTTACCCGCTGTCATGGTTTCACTGGCCACTCAAGCTGTCTGCCCGTCATCCTGCCCTAAGCTTGATTTTTTCAGAACAGATGACGAGATACCAGAAGTAGTTGCGTTTAATCTATTCTGTTTTGAAGTTTTTCTTGTCCTCTTGATGTTCAAATACTGTCTGTGGTCACTTTTTATTACTTTTTTATGGCTTTTAGTTTCCACCAGCGAATGTGTTTCTTTGAGTACAAAAAAACACTATCCGCTTTTGTGGCTGTCTGATGTGTCGGAATAGATTTTATCGACTCATATTCGGCAAAATTAGATTGATCGCGCATATGTGACATTTATTGTTGTTCTCAATTATGTCAATAGTTGGGATGTACTCAACCTGATTGCCCGCAAACTATTTTTACGGCAGGGCGATTCTGTACTTCCTGGGACAATTCTAGTTTTCTAACCTGAAACCG